TATCAATGATCTGACTACAACAAAACAGTTACTTAAGAAATGTATTCGACTGAATAGGATAAAAGTAGCCCTATAGGTCCAATGTCGAATAAAAGCCTAATATTCGTAGCAAATCTTGTTTTTATTACTTTTTCAATACTTGATAAAGAAGGTAGCGAACTCTTCAATCTATTTACACTATGACGTCATCAATAAAGTTTAATAAAAGCTGTTTAAATTGGCTAACGCTTAGAAAACAAAATAATTTAAATTGATGTTTATATTAACCTTATGATGCATGAAGCAAAAATATAAAAACGGCATCTTAAAGTTTACAAACCGAATTGCGTGCTTTATAACTTGTAAAGTAATAAATAATATTAATATTCACTCATCTTAAGGTTGTACCTTGACGATAACATGTTTAAAGGTACAACGTCAAAAGCACGTTTTAGCAACACCTGTCCAAGTTTTTGCTTACGCAATGTTGCCTTGCCATTGTTCGCGTGTAAAGATACGCTAAGGCAGCGTTAGTTTTAATTGCACGTATCTTGAGCGAACTGTCCGGTGTAAGTTTGTACCACAAATTCCAAAAGCAAATGGACAATAAAAACCCTTTTTAACATTTTTTTTTCACATCGATTCTAAAATTCAAATAGAATTGTAAAAGTGCATTATACAGATAAGATTATAGTGTTCAAAACTCACACGATACAGCAATGATAAATTAATTCCGGTCACTTTCTTTATTCTCGCCAAATTCAACATGTGCATCGCTTTAACAGTTTTAAAATTAAATTGCACAGAACAGAGACAAATAAATCTTTACTTCAGATTTTGTCAATTGAGACTAACAGACACAACGTGTTAAAAATAAAATTCAATAAGTCTTGATCCGGCCGATTGCATTATATTATATTTTCTTGTATTTTTAAAAGATATTAATAATCAGAAAATAACTTAAGCCCACATCCAGAGTACTGCTAAATCTGTAACTAACACCATCCCAATGTATCTGCATACTATGTAAGATCTACGCAAGGAACCTTTGACAACAAAATTAATTTACACACTCTTCATTTATTTGTAACAAGAGTACATCGAAAGAGAAATTTTAGCTCCTTCTGATGGATGATATTCGATCACTATAGCAAAACTTGATTCGCCGGAAGTAGAAGTTGCAAAGTCATCCTCACTTTGGTTATTTTCGTTAGCCATGCAAGTGATGATATAACCTAACATACACACTCGAGAACATGTTCGGAAGTGAAACATTTTGTAACACATCATTGAAATATTGGCTTACGACTATGAATGTTGTACTTGTGTACAATTTTATTTATGCACCAGTCGTTATTCTCTCCACATAAAATGTACTAGTACAGTGAAACATTAAATGAAATAGTGGCTTCGAGCCTATGACTAGTTTCGAAGTACGCAGTCCGTGCCTATGCTGTTGTCGCATTGTTTAGAGATTGCTGAATATTTTAATTATACAATATTTTAAATTAGTTTTTTACGGAGCATAAAGTTACAATAGTACTAATTGTTTTATAGGATAACGGTGACAAACGAGCACACAGTCCACCTGATGGTTAGTGGTTGCTGTGGCCCATAGACATCTACATCTATCCAAGATTACGAATCAAATTGCAGATGCGTTCTCATCCGTAAGGAATAAGACGGAATGTCTCCTTTCACGTATGAAGAGTTCTCGGTTAGTCCGGTTCTGTACACTTACTAAATGAAACACAGCAACGTTAAGCTGCAATTTTACGCTGGTATTCTGTGAGAGTGTGGTCCTTCCCCGGTCGAGCCGTCGCATTCGTGCTACAACTACTTCTAATATAGCTGCACTATGGCTCTACCACGTAAAAATACCACGTCAATCATATTATAACGAAGAATGATGGTAAATTATAACTCTTTTATATTTTCATTTCATTTTTATTTTCTGTAATCATACATCCAAAATATAAGAGAAGTTTGTTTCTTAACTCAAAAGTTATCGTTCAAAAAAAATTATGATTCACAAAGCCGGATCTGTTATCAAAAATATTTCAATGTCAAAAAGTAATAAAATACTGTTAGGTCTCTACTATATCTGTGTTCGAATCTTGACCATTCACACTTCCCTAAGAATACGTATTCAGACACAGGTCCATGTTTCAATGGTAATGGTACAGCAGGTTTAAATTCAAGTACTCCTTAAGTGATTCGAAAGGGCAATCTTAACAAACCTGTGGTGCGAGTACCGTTGCCTCCGTAGCCGCCGTCTTGAAGGTCTCTGCTGACGCTAGACGAAACCACACGGGGCGGCATGACGCCCGGTTTGGCGCAAAATCACCCCAGCCACACGAACACTCATCAGTCACTCCCTTCACTAACGCAATGATTCCCTGGCCGTTCTTACACTAGGGACACTCCACGAGGCCCGTGAATCATTGGGCCGTATCGATACATGCACTCACCGGTAATTGTTGCCGCTCCCTGTTGAAAACACAGTCACTACACTCGGGTGACATGAATACGAAACTTTCAATGTTTTGGAAACAATAGCGGTGAGACGTCAAATTATACGAATCGAATCGGTCTTTACAATTTAAATAATACAAGCGAGTTTTTGATTGAATTTACGCCGATCACATCACTGCACCATATCGTATTAACGTTGTAACGAATTGTGGAATAATATCGTCAATGTATCGTTTATTTGACAGTTGTGACTGCGCGGTTAGATCGTGCGACGTGAGTTCCGTACTACGCAAACACCTTTAACGTACTGACTGGAGGCAGCTGTGCGAGACCGGCTAAAGAGAGAGAGAACACTATTTTGTACTGGTTCCAGAGGCTTGTAACGAATTCTTCAACCCAGAAATGCACTGTATAACTAAGTTGATAAAGAACAGTTTAGCTTAATTGCAATGTATACGGTATTACAGCTGAGTCAGTTTCCTTGAACATTGAGTGTGGAAATGCAAGTCGAGACATTGATAAGTGTGAAAGAGACGGGAAATATGCGCGAGGAATGGCGACGAATTCCGAGCATAAACCGAACGTCAAGGCCGACTCACGTCACGTTTGGTAGAGACTAGACAAACCCTTATTTATCAATATACATATTATGTCATATATCTTTATTATAATAAAGTTTATTGCCCTTCCCTGAAATTTCGACCCGGACTGAATAAAACGGGGTCTGACATGACTAAAACATAACCGCTGCTATAACATGCAATATAAAAGAACTATAAAATAGTTGTAAACACTTTATAAGCAATGAATACATTGAATCAAATAGGTACATACAATCTTCAATCAGTCCTAAACTAATTCTGTACACAATAGTCAGCTAGGTTTTTAAATGCTATGCTATGCAATGCCCTAGAAGCATTAACTTTAGCAGATACTACTTAATTTTAGCTGATTTTCGTATCACACTCATAGTACGTTTTATTGTTGAAGGAACAAAGGAAATACTAGTGAAGAATCACGGGTAGTGATTCAATATTTTAGGTTGAAAAATTATCCGTGCACTGGGTACAGAGTAGGTTCACCCATGCACAGAAATAAACCAGATAATATATGCAACAAGGTCCAGATGATTTTTGGTAAGATTTTTAACAATGGACAAAACGCGTCTTGATCATGATCCAGGGAAAAATTAAACTTGGAAAAGATAATCATTTCCCACATCTCAAAAATTTAAAGCGAAGACTTCCGTCGTTAAAACGGATCATGGAGCCACTTTTACGGGCATTTTGTACACAAAACAAATTAAAAAAAATAGGACAATTAAATCCGAGAGAAGCGACGAGTTAAACTCGCTAAAATTGTGTTGTAAATTTTTTTTTCATCATGATTCCGCCCCGATTTTAAAAACCCTTCATCCTTGCGATAGCTGAAATTCGAGATCCTGGTTTTAAAATAATTGAGCATTCTCCATATTTTTTACTGGAAACGAGGTATTCCATCTCAGTCCTCACGGGTGACAACGCATCTGCATTTAGATTTGTAATCGAGGATAGATGTAGATGTCTATGGGCCGCAGCAACCACTTACCATCAGATGGACTGTGTGCTCGTTTGTCATCCTATCCTATAAAAAATATATTCACCCAGTGATTTTTATCTATTGCCGAGATTGAAAGAATATCTAAGAGTACAAATATTGTGATGAATCAAGTTCTTGAAGATAGTGATAGATGTTAAAGTATCAGTGAAGGGTTTTTAGGTGCTCAAATGAAGATTTCTTTAGTAAAGGAATTTTAAGGTTATAAAAAAGACATTCCAAGTGTATAACACTAAAAGGTACACCTGCAACATCATTCTCACGTTCTATTGAATACAGGATTGATCCTGTATTGTGTAAATAAATCCAAATTCCAAACCGAAATTGAAATTTAAAAAAAATTATAGATTTATTTCGACCACAATTTTAAATACAAAAACCCCTGTTTTTCTACTGAAGACTGAGACTTGAAATTAATGTCAACAGCTTATAGCTGTCTTCTAGCAGGATATGGCGTTTACCAGTATTTTTTTCGTTTACCAAGAAGAGTTTTTTTTTTAAACCGATCACCGATGTTTTGCTTATGGACTTGATGGATCTCCTTCACTAGTATTAATCAACCAACTTTCGCATGACATGGCTACATATTTCACAAGCATAAAGTCGCTGAAAGGATAGGCAAATCTATGTCCACACAATTTGATACCAACTAATGCTAAAATAAGGAATCGGTAGAGCCACCAATACCAAGTTGATAGTTAGGGTAAAGGTTGGCTTTATGGTGATAATAAGAAAAAAACTTAAAATTTTATTTCAAAATTAACATTTATTAGAAAACCTCTTTACTTATTACAATAATCAGACTTTTCTTTTCAATAATTATTAATCACAGCAACTTAAATTCTTAAACATTAATAGGAAAATCAGATCAAACAAATCTTTTTGGTGTTGGCAATATGGAGATACGGGGGCAATTTGGTGATACCATATGCGGCAATATGGTGACAAGTCTATTCAGGTGCCCAATCACTGTCATCAGTGCCTGAAAAGTCTACTTTATCACAATTATCACACAGGAACTGTGGCGACTCTGTGGCAGTACATTCTTGGTGGTACCATTTGCCGCAGCTCATGCACTCTACCCATACAGCTCCGTTCCTAAGTGCCACATCTTGGGAGTAGTGAACACCGCAATAGTCACACATCGTACTTTTATTTGATTTTGGTGTTTTCTCTACCTTGACTCTTGGTAGTTTACGCTTCAGGTTGCTTTCAGTTGAAGGTCCAGGAGTTGGAGAAGCAGAGGGGACACGAATCGAGGTAACGGTCTCCTCACTGGTAACGGCGACTGTGGTTTCGTTTGATATGGCGACGATGTTTTCTTTAGGACTGTCCATGTTGTTCGTGCTTTGAGGTGTTAAATATCGGGCCTGTGGATTCCGCTTAGCTCGTCGGGTACTAGAAGAAGAAGACTGTGGTACCTCAGGAACGGAAAGTAAAGAGAAAACTGAAGGTGACGCAGTTTCACGATTGACAGCAGAAGCTTGGGCATTATCAGTGGAAGATTCAATATTCTGTGACTGTAGGTCACTTGGCTGCATCAATGATGGGGCAATACTTTCATCAGATATGGCATTTCGATCAAATGGCGCAATGCCAGTTTTTCGAAAGCCGTTCATAATTATTGACGGCTGAAATGCATGCTCGTAGGCTGGTGTTAATAGGCGACAAAAGTCAAGCCTTGTTGGAGCACTCGTTGGATGTTGAAGCTTATAATCATTTAGCACTTTAGCCCATGCATTTTTCAGTGATTTGTAAACAGAAACGTCCAGAGGTTGCAGGAGATGGCTTGTGTGACTTGGAAAAGTGAATAGATGAATGCCATTTTTTGTAGCGAAATCTATAACATCTTGGCTGACATGGGTGGAGTGAGAATCCATGATTAAAAGTCGGTCTAGCTGGTGGAATATGAGCTTCAAAATGATGCATCCACTCCAGAAATAGTTCAGAGTTAATCCATCCATTTTTGGATAATCTCACGATAGACCCTTCCGGAGCACCATTCGCTAGATCATTGACCATTCGGACACCTTTAAAAATGATCAAGGGGGGGTACAGACGCTCCGCTCGCACTACAGCACCCAAGCACCGTTTGTGTGACACCTTTCTCTGCAAAAGTTCTACTGTAAATTACCTTCTTTCCAGTTTGAGTGACAATTTTTGACGGTTTTACGACGAACGTTACACCGGTTTCGTCGCAGTTATAAATCCTTTCAGGCTTTTGCAGAATATCCAGCTCAATAACGACGTCCAGTAGCTTTTTATAAAAATCGTCAATGTTTTGTCTGTTAGCAGTAACAGCTCGGCATGCTGCAAGCTTTTCTGGCGTGCGCAATGAAAGCCCGTACCGTTCTTTAAACGACCACCACCAATAAGGCCCAGCTTTACGTTTAGCATCGTTAAACTGGTGATCTTTTCCTGCTTGGACTGCTAAAGCGTAACATTTAGCTTTGATGTCTGTGACGCTGAGACCAAATCCTAGTTCTTGCATTTTAATTATGTAGGAAACAAACTTACATTCAAGGTCGCTGTCTAATGTAAATGGTCTCCCAAGTTTAGGTAAGTCGAAACTTTCACCTCCATGAGTAGCTATGTGTCTTCTCAAAGTAGACCACGGTATGCCATATTCCTTCGACGCCTTGTACACTGACCAATTATCCTTTATAACTTTCATAAAAGCCTCCTTGAAACGTGAAGAGTCATAATTTCTGCGTTTCTCGCCCTTCATTTTCCTTTTATTTGCCTTTCCGGACTTGTTCCTGTAAGAAAAATCATCCAATACGTAAGACTATAACCCGGACTAATGAAACACAACCCGATATTTTTTTTTAACAGAAAGATACAACATTTCGAGCTTCATCTACCCTGAAAACCCCATTCAAATTAAGCTTGAAATAAAATAAAAATAAGCTATGTAATGTTTTTGGTAATTTGGTGATATTTACGTACCGATTATCCTCCATTTTTTCGCATATTTTGGCGCGAAAGAAATAAATCGCGTCCGGTGAGGACAGCGACCAGCGGCCAAATGAAAGAGAGATGAACATACTCGCCTTCAGTTCATTGAATGAACGCAAAACTCGCGCTGGGCATTATAAAGACCGTTGAAAGCAAAATTATCACCATATTGCTATATAGCACCATTTAGCCAACCTTTACCCTACATCTTATTATTCCTATATATCTCTATAGTTTGCATTCCGAATTTACAAGGGACTCGAGACTTTGCAAAAGACAATTGGTTATACAAAATATCAATTTTTTTAGGGATAAGCCAATATTAAAATTTAGTATCGGACGTGTTTTACAGAACACGCCTCTGGCAGAGCACACGCAACTCAACCAGCACGTATAAAAACTGTTTTCTCCAGCGGCATCCGCTTGTCGGTGGTGCGGGAACGATTTACGAATACAATCAACACTTCAGCATAACCTTCGATCAACAATAGTTGGTATAAGAAGAGCATAACATTGCATCTTATCGTATTCCTTTACATCATGTAGATCGTATGCATTTACATATTTCCTTTGCCTTTATAATTATTGCGAAACTTCCAATCGATTAAATAACAGATTTGTATATTTCTACGTTATGATTTTACTTTTATTTTTAACTAGCTATGCCATGTGGTTTTACCCGCGTATATCACGTGTCTGAGCCGCGCGACATGACATGACACGTAGTTCAAGCATTTTAGATATCAATGTAAGGAAAAATTGGCAAAATTAATGCAGTACTTTTATCTACCAGCATATGTTGTTGCTGACAAATAATAATTATAGCCTCAAAGCGAATTGTAATAAATTGCAAAAGTTTTACAGTATAAAATATTTTAGCTGATGCAGAAAAAGAATATTTCAAACACATTTTTATCTTATTTAAATATTGATAGACTTAAATATATTCAATATGTGAAAGTATAATGATTTCTTATATTTATTTTAGAACATCTTAATTCCATAAACTCTAAAATTCAATTTACTATGGAGTTAGAGGCAAATAATTCCTTACCTTTCCTAGATGTGTTAGTCATCCGAAATCCTAATAACACCATTGGTCACACTGTGTATAGGAAAAGGACCCATACAAACCGATATTTAAACGGTGAATCTCACCACCGCCCTTCACAGTTAGCTACCGTGGGCAAATCTTTGTTACAGAGAGCACGAGGGATCTGTGACAGCAAACACCTGGCCGCCGAGCTTCAGCACGTCAAGCAAGTTCTGCACGACAACAAGCTTCGGGGCCCGCGCCTACGTCACAGTGACCGAGTGAAGCCGGCCACAGTCGAGCGTGTGCCTGCTGTACTACCAGATCGATGGCTCCTAAGTATAGTGAGTCATCTAACATTTTTAGGTATTTTCAGGTTTTGATGGCATTGATTGTAAAAATATATTATCTATCAGACTATATCGAAAAAATCTAAAATGCGTAAATATTCTTGGAAATAATCTAACGTATACTGGTTTATGTTGTGGAATTTAAAATTGCCATACGGCGTACTCTAAGCTAACTACTCGAATTCAGTAAACGCGGGACGCGGGCGGGGTACTTTAAGCGACATGTGCACACTGGACTGGAATTTAGGTGTGTATTACGGTCATTATATTAGATTTAAGTTAAAAATTGTTGTGTTTAAATATAAATAAGCATGGAAAGAACACAACAAAATACTAGATACTCAGAAGACAAAAATAACGAACACGAAATTTTTGAAAATAACGAGTTAATGGAATCTTTTCATAAAAATATTAAGTAAATTAAGTTTTTCATTACATTAACTTATTTAAAATATAACTATGACAGTAAATAATCACATTATTTTTCGATTATATACTATTAGAAGTTCTGTACATTCTAAGCGCTTAACTGTTTTTGAAAATTCCAAGCGGCTATACACTATTAAATATTATTTACCATGGTTGAAATTAAATGAAAATGCAGAGATAAAAAGAATATCTGTTTGTAAAACAATGTTCCTTAGAACCCTCTCGATAAATTTTTACGTTGTTTATACCGTTTCAGAAAAATTTGATTGAAAAAACCCTGATTTATCTACTTAGATATTATTTTTTCCTGAATATATTTTATTTTATTGAATTTTATTAAAATAAATACTTCCAAAAATTAATTAATTATCTGATTAGGAAGAGAAATAAGACCTTTAATTTTAACGCATATAAATATAATTTTGGTTTCTGACAGAAATGTAAACTTCTTTGTTGTATGGAAAATATAAAAAGTTTAACTACTTGATTGTTAACTTAATATGTTTTAGCTTGTTAATTTTTGATACAAAGGAAAAAAAAAACATAGTTATTTTCCTTTGTATCAAAAATTAACAAGCTAAAAGCTTGCTTAATTTGCAGATATATCAATTTACTGCTACTTCATCGAACCGATTTCGGACATAAAAATCGGTGTATAATGAGTCAACTAATTTATTATCCTTGAAACTGTAGATACAACGTCGGTTTACTAGTCCAAGAAAATAAATTACAGTACTATATTTATGTATTTATAAACCTAATACTTTTTCCTAAAGATATGGTGAATATTCAAATACATTGTAAACGAGTGTATGTGACAGTTAGCTCATTAAAGGCCATGATTTATATGATGTACACTAAGCCAACTACATTATCCTGGAAACTCACTAAAACAGGTCTACTATTTTATTGTATAAGTGTCTCAAATCTTAAAATAACACAAACTTAAAAAAATCAACATTCTAGTACAAAAACAGAAAAATTTATAAACAATTAATCTTTGACTGGCGCTCCTCTAAAATTTGAATTTTGTAGTTGACTCACTATACTTAGGAGCCATCGATATGTCAGAGGTGTCACAGACAAGATTGGCTATATCTTGAAGCGAGCTTCTATTAGAACATTCTACAAGCCGCCGAAGAAGATTAGTCAGTTCCTACCATCCGTCAAGTGTCATATTCCTCTACAAGATGCAGGAGTGTACAAGCTTGATTGTGAATGTGGTCTCTCTTATATAGGACAAACAAAAAGATCAATTAGGACCCGCGTAAAAGAACATATAGCTGATGTGAAGCATCAACGTTCCGTGAAGTCTGCAGTTTGTGATCATATCCTAGACGGACCCAACCATTACATCAGATTTGATAGACCACCAATCCTCGCGAAAGAACACCGATTCCTACCAAGGATGATACGTGAGGCTATTGAAATTAAACAACATCCTAATTTCAATAGAGAAGGAGGCTGGATACTACCACCTGCTTGGGATCCTATAATCAATAAAATTAAAACTAAACCCAAGCATACCACTGCAAGACCTCAGGACATAGTCAGTTCATTTTGCATAGATCGGACCATAAACAATAATTAAAAAAGCTGAAGGTACTCTGGGTTTAACAATGACATCGGGACGTCAGTCATCTCAGTCCCCCGGTGACCATGGGTGCTGGAAAGCGCCCGAAACGTCGGGAATTAAAAATAAAAGTAAATAAAAAGTAAAAATAAACGCGATAAAATCCGTAAAAGTAGTTTTAATCATATGTGAAAGTATGTTTGCTGGAATTAGAATAGGATAATTTTTACAGAAGTTTACGCCAAGCTAAATGGGCAGATAACAACTGGCTGTAAAATATTTTAAGTTTTTCATTGATATATCAACTATTAATCAATACAAGAATTGACAAATATTATTGACTACTTGAAAACTGCAGCGTTCTTACAGGTGGTTCTATGGCTCGCTGATGTATCAAGAAATATAAAATTATTACACGTTAAGGACGCGTTTACAAAATGGATAGGTATAGAATCGCACTACTACATTGACAAAAGTCACACACACACTAGTGTACGCACGGTTGGCTGTGGGAATCGTAGTCAAATGAAATTATTTTGATAATTTGAAAGATTGAATTTGTTTTTCATTTCTTATACCTACCTCAGAAATATACTTCGATACGAAATATGAATACCTGCTCCAAAGACTGCTTGGCACTGGAAGCCCTCTACTGGTAGTGAGATGTTAGCTCTGGACTTTGAACTGGTTTTGTCAGTTATAATAAGACCTTACCTACCTGCGGACTTGATGGAGTGACCTGAAGGTGTAATTTGGTGATTACAACAATAGGAACTCCTAGACTAGTGAAACTAGGTGTGCCGAGTTTGGGTTCGTTTTGTTAGTTATGATGAGACCTTACCACCAGACTTGATGGAGTGACCTGAAGGGGTAATTCAGTAACTACTGCTGGAATTTCTGAACGAGTAGAACTAGATGTGCCGAATTTGGGCTCCGTTTTGTTAGTTATGACGAGTCCATACCTCCGGACTTGATGGAGTGACCTGAAGGTGTAAATCGGTGATTGCAACTGGAACTCCTAGACTGGTGGAACTAGGTGTGCCGAGTTTGGGTTCGTTTTGTAGGTTATGATGAGACCTTACCACCGGACATGATGGAGTGACCTGAAGGTATAGTTCGGTGATTACAAGTGGAACTTCTAGACTTGTAGGACTAGGTGTGCCGAGTTTGGGTTCGTTTTGTTAGTTATGATGAGACCTTACCACCAGACTTGATGGAGTGACCTGAAGGGGTAATTCAGTAACTACTGCTGGAATTTCTGAACCAGTAGAACTAGGTGTGCCGAATTTTACTCCATCAAGTCCGGTGGTAAGGTCTTATCGTAACTAACAAAACGAAACCAAACTCGTCACACCTAGTTCTACTAGTCTAGGAATTCCATTTGT